TATTCAATATGTGACTATCCCTTAATTTCTTCTTCTTCACTGTATCTCTTCTCTATTTACTTGGTGTCTCAAAAATTGCATCCTTTTTGGTCCAATTTCTACACAGAATAAACCTCTTGTTCACTGGTCACTTGGCTGTGTAGGGATAGGAAAGGGTTAGGGTCCAACTGCTTTTTTTTGGTTGTTTTGTTTTCTGTTTTCTTACAAAGATTCAAACAAATTTCTGCCTCATCCCGCTGTATTTGTTTTTGTTTTTAGAGTCCAGTTCCTGAACCTTTCTGTGCATTATGGCTAGAATTATTTGCTTTGTAGTGATATCCTCCTCAGAAGGCATTTTGGTGTTAGATTTCTCAGTTTTTTTTTTTTTTTTTTTTGAGACAGAGTCTTGCTTTGTTGCCCAGGCTAGAGTGAGTGCCGTGGCGTCAGCCTAGCTCACAGCAACCTCAAACTCCTGGGCTCCAGTGATCCTTCTGCCTCAGCCTCCCGGGTAGCTGGGACTACAGGCATGCGCCACCATGCCCGGTAATTTTTTTTTAATATATATATCAGTTGGCCAATTAATTTCTTTCTATTTATAGTAGAGACGGTCTCGTCTTGCTCAGGCTGGTTTTGAACTCCTGACCTTGAGCATCCGCCCGCTCGGCCTCCCAAGAGCTAGGATTACAGGCGTGAGCCACAGCGCCCGGCCTAGATTTCTCAGTTTTGCCAATTTCTTCATCTTTTTGTCTCTGAAAAATTTATTTACTTTTTTCAGCTTTTCACCTTTTTTCTCCTTTCTTGTCTTTTAAACCCTTTTAATTTCTTTACTGTTATGTTAATGAGGTTTTAGGAAAGAACAAAGATAAACAGATGTGTTTAATATACTATGTTTAAGTGGAAGTCTTACTAAGAAGTGATCAATCAGCATTTCCCAAGGTTTAGTCATTCATATATCATGCAGACCAGGTGCAGTGGCTCACACCTTTAATCTCACCACTTTGGGAGGTGGAGACAGGTGGATCACTTGAGGCCAAGAGTTCAAGAACCCCATCTCTACAAAAAAAAAAAATTTTTTTTTAAATTAGCTGGATGTGGTGGTACATGCCTGTAGTCCTAGCTACTCAGGAGGGTGAGGCAGGAGGATTGCTTAAGTGTAGGAGTTTGAGGTTGCAGTTAGCTATGATTGTGCCATTGCACTTAGCCTGGGCAACACAGCAAGACCACCCATCCCTAAAAAAGAAACAAAAACTATAATATATATGCCCTACTAGGGAATTTGGACTTTATTTTGAAGGCAATGAAAACTCTTGAATCAGCCAACCACTGAACATTTTTGGAGCACCTATTATGTGTATAGGATTATGCCCAGTCATTTGGAGGACTAAAACATTTAGATGCAATCCCTTTGGGAACTTAGCTTTTAGTTAAGGGGATGAAGGATCAGTAGAACCCAGCTGACAAAAATCTACATTCTTCACCCAAATAAATTAGTTTCTATAGTGATCTTCTTTTGAAATTCTGCAACCCAACTTTCCATCTTCCTTTCTAGAGTCTCATCAAGTCCTAGCTCAACTGCTGGACACTCTGCTTGCAATTGGCAATAAACTGTCAGAGAATCAAGCTGTCCAGCTGCGATTAGTTGATGTAGCTTGCAAGGTAAGTGTAAGGTGGTCTGCTTTCTTGAACTGTTTCGCATTGTTGGATGGGTGGTAGGAGGTGTAAAATTTGCTCAGGTCCATCCCAAACTTGTAACTGAGGATTACCAAAGACTTTTAGTGGTTTTTAGAGCTGCCTCATTTTTTTCTCTCTTGGTATTGGGTTAGGAATAAAGTTATAAAATGAAATTCCTCATCCAAAAGAAATGAAAAGTTATGGTACACAGCTACTATGTATACTATGCCTAGTATTGCACTCTGCTTATTATGATTCTTTGTATTTTGCTTTTCATTTGGTCTTCACAATCCTTTAGGTAAATACTGTTAGCCCTGTTTTTTTTTTATGTTTTTTTAATTTAATTTATTTAAAAAAAAAGTGAGTTTAAAGTAAATGGATTTTTTAAAAAAGGGGCAACAGTCCGAAAAAGTAAAGTTTAATTAAAAAATCATATACACAAAACAACTTCTGATTCATTTTAAGCTCTCCCACTGGGTCTTTCACAGGCAAGTCAGTTTCCCACTGAGTCCAGACCAGCTAAAGATGCACCCACAGAAGAAAGGGGATCTTTAATAGGTGTTCTCCTTAATAGGTGAACAACAGCATCTGTTACTTGACCAGTGTCCATGACCTGAGTGACTAGGCATCAAGGCTGGCTTCCCTCCTAGTTGAGAAGGCCAGTTTCTTCATCAGCAGATAAACTCTGGGATCCACCTCAAATCCATGCAGGTTGTTGGCATCACCCTGCAGCCTCATGAGCAGGCCCCCATAGGACACGTAGGCAGAGAGGTGTGTTGCTGCTTCAGTAGAAGTTTCGTCTCCCTCAATCCTGTACACTTTCCCATACATTACATACTCAAATTGGTCAGCCCTGGAAGGCCTGTCATCAGTGGGGTTGTATTCACCATCATCCAGGGTACCATCTTCATACAAGGTACTAGCTATGACCAACCGGAACTTATCACCCAAGTCTACAGGGTATATCTGGATGTTTACATCTAAGATGAGATCCATCTTGAAAGATTCACTCTCACAATGCAGTCGAGACACTCAGAATTCTTGAGCGAATAAATAAGACAAAGCGTGTGTACAGCACCTCGGTCAAATTTCTTGCCTTCCGGGTCAATGTCTTTCACATCGAAAATATCCTCAACAGGATGCTCGCCATTGTGAGGGGGGCAACAGAGCAGAAGCGCTGAGTGCACGACCACCACTGCAGATATGTGCACCCCCTCACGTGGAGAAAAGGAGAGAAGAAAAAAGCAGTTCCTAAAAAAAAATGATTGGACAAAATATCACACAGCCATTAAAAATTATATTTACAAAACGTATACAATAGAAGAAAAATAATTTTGTTGTAATATTAGCAAAAGAAAGGCAAAATTATACATGGACTATGATTACAGCTATGTGTTAAAAAATAGCAAATTTCAAGTGATGTGCATACAAAAGCCCTGACTTCACCATTATGCAATATGTACATGTAATGGGAAAAAAATAAAAAAAAACAGTCTGTGTATAGAAAAAAAATCAGAAAGCGTACATCAAAAGACCAATAATGGGGCCGGGCACGGTGGCTCACGCTTGTAATCCTAGCACTCTGGGAGGCCGAGGCAGGCGGATTGCTTGAGGTCAGGAGTTCAAAACCAGCCTGAGCAAGAGCGAGACCGTCTCTACTATAAATAGAAAGAAATTAATTGGCCAACTAATATATATAGAAAAAATTAGCCGGGCATGGTGGCACATGCCTGTAGTCCCAGCTACTCGGGAGACTGAGGCAGAAGGATTGCTTAAGCCCAGGAGTTTGAGGTTGCTGTGAGCTAGGCTGACGCCATGGCACTCACTCTAGCCTGGGCAACAAAGCGAGACTATGTCTCAAAAAAAAAAAAAAAAAAAAGACCAATAATGGTTACCTTTGAGTAATGAATGTTTAGTTTTTTCTTCATACGTTTCAATATCTTTCCAAATTTTCTATGAATACAAACCTTTTGTTTGTTTGCTTGTTTGCTTTTAGTTTTTTGGGTTTATTTTGAGATAAGGTCTCACTCTGCCGCCAGGGCTAGAGTGCAATGGCATTATCATAGCTCATAGCAACCTCAAACTGCTGGCTCAAGCAATCTTCCTGCCTCAGCCTCCCGAGTAGCTAGGACTACAAGTGCATATCACCACACCCAGCTGATTTTTCTATTTTTTGTAGAGACAGGGTCTTGCTCTTGCTCAAGCTGAGTATAAACTTTTAAATAAAAATATATTTAAAGCAAATTTAAGAAATTGTTACTGCAAGAATAATCGACTTAGTATGAAACCTCTCACAAGGACAACTTCATAGATATATGTTTTCTCTCACATAGAAGATATATTTATTATTCTCTCACACACATAACCCCTAGTTTTTTCCACTTAGGCTTTTGATATTGTACTTTTCTAAGTGTTTCTGCTTTTATATGTGTCTTTTTTTTTTTGCATAATTTTGCCTTTCTTTTGCTAATATTACAACAAAATTATTTTTCTTCTATTGTATATGTTTTGTAAATATAATTTTTAATGGCTGTGTGATATTTTGTCCAATCATTTTTTTTTCTTTTTTTTATAAAAAGTCTTCAGTGGGATTGTCCAGTCATTAAACCATAGTTTAAACATTTGCCTATTACTGAATATATTGTAATAGTTTATTTAATTGGAAATAATACTACAGGGAATATTGTTATTCTAAAATGTTTTCTGTATTTAAAAGTATTTTTTTTTTTTTGAGACAGAGTCTTACTTTGTTGCCCAGGCTAGAGTGAGTGTCGTGGCGTCAGCCTGGCTCACAGCAACCTCAATCTCCGGGGCTCAGCGATCCTACTGCCTCAGCCTCCCGAGTAGCTGGGATTACAGGCATGCGCCACCATGCCTGGCTAATTTTTTGTATATATATTTTTAGTTCGTCAATTAATGTATTTCTATTTTTGGTAGAGGTGGGGTCTCGCTCAGGCTGGTTTCGAACTCCTGACCTTGAGCAATCCGCCCGCCTCGGCCTCCCAAAGTGCTAGGATTACAGGCATGAGCCACCACACCCGGCCTTAAAAGTATTTCTTAAACACAGATTGTCAAAAGTAGAATTACTAATTGAAAGCATTTATAATTTTTTAAGGCTCTTAATAGTTTTTATCAAATTGCTTTCCATAGTGTTCCAGTTTTTATGCCCACAAGCAGTACAATGAGAGTGCCTAATTTGACTGCATCATTCCAGCATTGTATATTAATGTTTCAAAACCAAAGATAAACCTTTTAATTTGGTAGGAGGAAATGATACTTCATTTTTCAAAGAAATTTTTTTAGAAAGATTACTTATGAGTTTTCTTCTTCATTTGTTTTTTCTTTAGTTGTATTTCCTCTCTTGGGAATGAACTTTTCATGTTTTTTGCCAGTTTATTATATGGAGTTTTTGAGGGTTTTTTTATTTATTTATTTTTTATTTGTAGAGGATTTTAATAGGGTAAAAATTTGAACCATTTGAAAATGGCAGATCTGTCACAAGCTTTTTCATTCTCAACTAAATAAAGGCTATTTGTGATTCATAGTTTTAGCCACTATTTCTATTGCCTAATGCCATATTCGTCTATGACTATCATACAATGTGCCTAAAAGTTTCTTTTATTGATATATAATTTATATACACAACATTCACCCTTTGAATAAAAAAATACAAAGTATTTTTTCTAACCATAATGGGATGAAATTGAACATCAGTTAACAGAAATTTAGGAAACCCACAAATATGTGGAAATTAAACAACATACTCTTGTATAACCAATGGGTCAAAGAAGAAATAAAAAAGGAAGTTAGAAAATACTTTGAGATGAATGAAATTTAAGACATGATACAGCTAAAGCAGTGCTTAGAGAAGTTTATAGCTGTAATTGTCTATAGTAAAAAAAGAAGAAAGTTCTCAAATCAGTAACCTAACCTTCCACCTTAAGACACTGGAAAAAGAAGAGCACAGTAAACCTAAAGTATGTAGAAGGAAGGGAATAATAAAGATTAGAGTAGAAATTAATGAATTAGAGAGTAGAAAATCAACAGATAATAACGATGAAATCAAATTTGGTTCTTTGAAAAGATCAATAAAATTGACAAACCTTTAGTTATATTGACTATGGAAGAAAGAAGGCTGAAATTACTTGACTCAGAAATGAGAGGATATTACTACATACCTGACAGAAATAAAAAGGATTATAAAGAAATACTATGTAGAATGATATACTAATAAATCAGATTACTTAGTTGAAATGGGCAAATTACTAGAAAGATAAAAACTACCAAAACTTTCTAAAAAAGTAGACAGTCTAAGTAGACTTATAACAAGTGAAGAAATTGAATTAGTAGTAAAAAAGCAAGCACCAAAAACCACTTACAATGAAAAGCTAAGGCTCAGATGACTTCACTGGTGAATCCTACCAAATATTTAGATAAGAATTAATACCACCGGGCGCAGTGGCTCACCCCTGTAATCCTAGCTGGAGGCTGAGGCGGGCAGATTGCTCGAGGTCAGGAGTTCGAAACCAGCCTGAGCAAGAGCGAGACCCTGTCTCTACTATAAATAGAACGAAATTAATTGGCCAACTAATAAAAGTAGCCGGGCATGGTGGCGCATGCCTGTAGTCCCAGCTACTTGGGGAGGCTGAGGCAGGAGGATTGCTTGAGCCCAGGAGTGTGAGGTTGCTGTGAGCTAGGCCGACGCCATGGCACTCACTCTAGCCTAGGCAACAAAGTGAGACTCTGTTACAAAAAAAAAAAAAAAAAAAGGAATTAATACCAATTTTTTACAAACTCTCCCCCAAGAGGGAAGACTTTCCAATTCATTCTGAGTCCAGTATTACTTTGTTACCAGAAGCAGACAAAATATATCATATGAACAGAAAACTATAAGGCAGGCATGGTGGTTCACACCTGTAGTCCCAGCTACTCTGGAGCTGTGGTGGGAGGATCCCTTGAGCCTAGGAGTTCAAGGCTGTTGTGATCTATGATTGTGCCAGTGTACTCCAGCCTAGGCAACAGAGTGAAACCCTATCTCTTAAAAAAAGAAAGAAAGAAAACTATAGACCAGTGTTTCTTATGAATATGAATGGATACAAATATCCTTAACAAAATACTAGCAAATCAAATTCTCCAACAACATATAAATAGGGTTGTACACCATGACCAAGTGGGATTTATTCCAGGAATGCAAGGTTGGTTTAATATATGAAAATAATGTAATATACCATAACAAATAATCAAGGATAAAAAACACATGATTATCACAGTAGAAACAGAAAAAGCATTCAAGAAACTAACATCTTTTCATTATAAGAACATTAAAAAAATCTGGAATAGAATGGAACTTCCTGACCCTCATAAAGGGAATCGACAAAAAAACTGGTACCTAACATCATACTAATTTTGACAGACTAGATGTTTCACCCCTAAGATGAGAAACAAAATAAATACATCACTGCATTTCTTTCCAATTCTATTTAATTTTGTACTAGAGGTTCTTGCTAGGGCTATTAGGCAAGAGAAAGAAACAAAAGGCATCCATCTTGGAAAAGAAGAAGTGAAATTCTGTATATATTCACAGGTGATGTGACCTTATATATAGAAAATCTTAAAGAATCCTCTAAAAACTTATTAGAAGTAATAAATGAGTTTCGCAAGGTTGCAGGATACAAGGACAGTTTACAAAAGATAAGTTGTATTTCCATACATTTTCAAGGAATAATATGAAAATAAAATTAGGAAAACAATCCATTTATTATAATGTCAAAAATAATAAAATGTTTATGAATAAATTTAACAAAAGAAGTACAAAGTTTAGGGTTAGGGTTAGGGCTTTTTTTTGTAAACTATATGGAATTTTAAAGGAAACTAATAGTCTTGAAAAAGAACACAGTAAGAGGATTCAAACTTGACAGTTATTTCAAAACTTAACTATAAAGTACCAGTAATCAAGACACAGTGGTACTGTCTAAAAATGGACATAAAGATCAATAGAATAGAATTGAGGGTCAAGAAATAAACCCATGTGTCTTTGGTAAACTGATTTTCCGTGGGGATGCCAATACCATTCTTTGGAGAAAAAAATAGTTTTTCAACACATGGTGCTGGGACAGCTAGCTATCCACATACAAAAGATGGAAGCTGGAACATACATCATATAAAAAAAATTAACCCAAAATGAATTAGACCTAAATATGCAGCCTAAAACTGTAAACTCCTTGGAAGAAAACAGTGGTAAATTTTCATAAACTTGGATTTT